TTCCAAAACTACAAAGGACATAACAAATGTCACACAACATACGGGTCTGACAACCAGTAGGGCTTTTAATGATACGTCACCCTAAAACACACCTGTGTGACTGTAAGTAGGAGTTTCTATCACTCGTACAATAAAATTCATGCTTCTTTGGATGCGTTCTGTGCATTTTTATTCAGTTTAATCTCCGCTAACTGAATTTTATTATTACATTTCTCAGGAAACTATGACGTGTGGTTTGTTTGAAAAACAATATTTAAAACTACCTGAAAAACGAAGCTTGGCAATAAACCGACGCTCTGTCAACATGTTAGAAAGTTTGAAAAAGTGTCTGATGTTGGATTTTTATTGTCAGAAATACGTCGTTTTAATGGATAACCAGTGTGTTTGTCGAAGACTTGGCGGGCCTTCTTGAACTCTCTCTTCTGTGCACCATTGAAGCGCGCCAAGTTAAATCATGTCCGCAGCCAACAGGTGCTAATTTAAGACTTCTTCATGGGCTTTGTATTTATTTTAAAAGTCGAGTGGAAAGATTAAAATAATGAGGTGGTGAAAAGGCTTTTAACTGTTTAAGTTTTTGTTTTCCCTTCCTCTCTGGCACACCGATTCAGCTCACCTACCGCATGGAGGACGTTTTCCAGCTTCAAACTAAAATACCTCTATTTACTTTGTTCCTATTTTCACTCCTTACTGGAGTATGTTGAGCTTTTTACATGGCATTTTATCACTTATTGAGATTTTATTTAATTTCACCATTTCCCTCTACTTCATTGAGCTATAGCAATAGCCTAGGTGTTTACACATTCACTTGACAAGCAAAAGGTTGCAAGTTTGATTCCAGATAGAGAGACAAACAGGTCTTCTTTGGATGTCATCCAAATCAAAACATGCAAGCCTTTATTGAGCTATAGGCTCTCAAAAATCTGATTTACTTACCAACATAACCAGAAACCATCACCGTCAGTGCCCTGGCCCCAATTAAACACATGAAGATGTAGAAACAAACTAATAAAGTGCTTTTGACTCGCCTTTAGGCTTTCCCAGATGCACCGTGACTCATTTTTCCTCACCTCTATTTTCACCAAAGCATGTTTACGTCTCGATTGACCGACTGGCTGAAAAGCACTGGTAAGAGGCTCAAAGACCAAGTCGCTGAACGGCTGAGCGAGCAGCAAAGCCCACGAGTGACCGACCAACTTTAAACAGAACCTCAAACTCACCGTGTCATCACACAGCTGATCACTGGCTGAAAGGACACCATAGTATTCCAGTCTGGGAAATCGACACACACTCACACAGGCACACACCCACAGAGAGTAGTAATTAGTTATGCTCCTGGTGAAATGTTGACCAAATGGCTTACATCCCTCTGCTGTCTCAGACTGGAGAAGCCAACCCTCCCCCTCCTGCAGCACACACACATTCTTCAAAACACAGACACTGTGAAAAGGGCACCAGGCTGTTCCATAAAGACACGCTGCTGAATGACACTTGTGTCCACATTAAAACTTTTCAGGCATAAATCCTGAGAAAAGGAAACTTTTTAAATGTTAGAAGCCTGTAAGAAGATCTGACTGAAACAAACAACGCTTTAATGACCTATTGTTGCCTCACTCGTTTTTCATTAACTGCTTGTTAAATAGAGGTATACTGTTGTAACCGACACACACCCGAGGGATTACCCATCTCATCTGATCTGGGAGCGCCTTGGGAACCCTCCCCAAGCAGGAGCTGAGGATAGTGGGGACAACAGCATTCAGCATAAAAGCAAGCAAACTGAAAGAAGGTGCACCCATGCTTCGCTTTTTGACAACATATATCAAAACAGTGATCAGCCGCCTCTCCACCAAGTTCTTCAACCCAAAGACGAACTCCAACTCCACCATGCTGGACTGTAGCTGACTACTACAACTGAACTCTTGTTCTCCTCCAGTGAGCCTCTGATTGTACAGATAAGACGCCCGCTTCACACGTCACTGAGCCAGCATTTAGCTCAGCACGAGTCCCAGCTCTCCACCTGCTTCAGGATCTGGTTGGTGTGACTCTAAAGTGTGCAACAGATTGCCAGAGTTGCACCATGTCATCAATGTATCAACAATGTAATTTCATTAAAATGCCACAGCGACGTTGAGTTCAGCGAAGGTGATCAATAACTTTTAAGCCTCAACAAAATCTAAGTGGCGTTAACAAAAGGAACAAATCACCTCTTCAGAGTTCTTCCAAAGGAAGAAACTAGCAATAAAGATCAAACCAGTTTCCACGTGACGCTGTAAATCTACTTATCTCTGCTCCATTTTAACATGGGAGTCTATGGCGATTTATACACTGTTCAAAGCAGCCTCAAGTGGCCACTGGAAGAATTGCAGTTTTTGTCTTTAGGCATTGGCTTCATTTATCAGCCTGTAACCTGCTGCTTCGTACTGAGGCACAATCACAACACAGGCTGTTATCAGTCTTAGAAAGCTGGAATGGGACCTTGACTTAAGATTATTTTGTAAAACAGAAATCTGTAGACAGCGAATAGATAAGATAAAGAAAGTCACAGGCTCACACAGTGCTCATCCCTCTAAATCTGTGGTCCACACAGACACCGTAACGCTCTGTGTGCAGGCCCTCCCTGACCCTAAAACACATTCCACACTCACGCCTTTCACACACCTCAGCTTTACCTTCGCTCTGCCTGTCCTTCTCCCCTTTCCTTCAAGGACTTAACACTTAATCATTAAACACTCCAAACACATTTCAGCACCACACTTCCCTGTCCGTCACTCACCTTCCGAGCTGATTTTATTGTGTATCCATCTGTGTGTGAGTGTCAGCTCGCCACCGGACACAAAACAGCCACAGAGCCCAGCTTTGATTTTTATCTTCTTTAGCGGTCTCAGTCACATTTTCCCAGGGGCTATGTTACTGTGTTTCCAGATGACTGAGCCAGGTTTTCCATTCCCCCACTGTGCTCAATCTAGACGCACACCAGCCAACATTTACACCACTGCCACTGCTGCTGCTGTGACTTCTCAACAGAGTGGGAAAGAGACCGAGAGAGAGAGCACGAGAGGCACTGGGAGCAGAGGTTGCATGTCCTACTTATGCACGGACCAGCCCCAGCAGAACACACAGCAATAATTGCTTGTAGTAATTCAAAGACGCCCTCCTCGGTTCTACCGGCTCACCACCCGTGGCATCAAACTGTGAGACGAGAGGCTGGGAGGAAACCTTGCCCCCACCGAGCGACTTGATCTCGCAGCATGAGGTCACATCAGCTTCTGAAAGCCTGAAGGTAAAACTGCTGTCTTTAGCTTGCTGAACATCTCTTTCAGAAAGGTGGCGTTTCTCGGCGATGATGCAGCCCGCCACCATTTATTACACATTTTCATTCATCTTACTTGACAGCACAAAGTAATAGATTCTGTAAGAATAAGCAAATGGATTAAACCTTAGCTGATTAGCTTTCAGTGCACAAACCTTACAGAGTAGCTTTCTACATCTTGGGATGGGAAGGTGGACCGGCGGATTGTCGCAGTGTCAGCAGTAAACCAGACATCATAGCGGACTGCCGCAGCAGTAAGAGAGCTGAGCCAAAAGGCCGTCTTCGTTCCAACCCCAACCGAGGATCATGAAGTCTGAGTATTGACCAAGAGAGTAACGCAGAAAAGTTTCCTCCACATAGGGTGGCTGGGCTAAGCCTTAGAGATGTCCAGAGGGCGTGTCAAAAAGGAGCCAGCTGGTTAGGATGCCTCCTGGATGCCTCCTTTTTAGAGGTTTTCTTTTTCTGGCGACACCCAAGTGGGAGGAGATCCTGAGGTAGACCCACTGGAGATATTATATATCGCTTGTCAGGCCTGGGAACGTTTTAGGATCTGCCAGGAGCAACTGGAAAGTTTAGTTGGGTAGAAGGATGTCTGGAATACCCTGCTGCTACTGCGATCTGACTTTGGATGGATGGATGGATGGATGGATGGATGGATGGATGGATGGATGGATGGATGGATGGATGGATGGATCACTGTATATCATACTGCTGCTGCAGGCGAGGCAATAAATTAAAAAAGATAAAATGCCCTTTATTTTGTTTGTTTGCAAAAACATACAAATAACCTTCCTTAAACTTAAACTTCCTTAAAGTATTGTGATTTAGGCTGAGGCTATATCACAAGTTGTGGATGCAGGAACGCAACCAAATACTTTTAGATGCCTTCTTGAATCTGTGCGGACACAACATCACACCGCACCAGTGCAAACTCAAGTAAAAGCATCTTAGAAACCATGTGAGGAACATGCAATGAGCACAGAGAATCACAGGTTTTCATTTACAAGGATTCCCACATCCCACAAACAGCCTCACGCTGGATTATTTATGGCCCAGACCAAGTCATCTAAAGTATGACATCTGTCAACACTTGGGCGTCTTTACCTCACATTAAATGACGTAACAAGAAGATGAACAGTCTCCTTTCATCCAGGATCCCCCCAGGCAGGAACCTTTAACCTCCAGGTTTGAAAGCACAGTGGCATTACATTGTGTGTGTGTGCGTGTGTGTTGGGGTGGGGGGGAATCAAAGACAGTGACAGCTGAGAAACATCAACCTGCACCGGATATCTGCTTTAGCCTTGGAGAATCACATGTTTTTTTTCCTTCACAAAAAGAGCAGGACTTTAAACTAAGCTGTGCATAATCACTTCAGTGGAAAGTTCAAACCAGCAACCCAGGGAGCAGCTACACAGACCTGCGACAATAAGCACCACAACCGCAGCTCTGTTGGGTCAGGCCTGTTGCAACAGCCACATCCTTATGAAATCCAATTCCTACATCCAATGAGAGTGCAGTGGCATACGAGTAACAAGCCAAGGGTCTAAATCTGTGCAGAAAACTTTACAGAACGCAACGTGCATTTAACACAGTGCAGCATAAGCGACTTTACACATACTTTCAGCCCGTCCAAACAGGGAGTTTTCACACACAAACACACGTATATACGCTGTCAGTTGTTATGGTCACTCACTTTGGTGATGATGAGCGGCTCCCCGTGCTCTAGCCCTCCTTTCAACGTGAACCCCCAAGGCGCGCCCCCGCTCAACTGGACCTGAATGTGGTGGAAGGAGACGAGCTGCTCCACGGTTTCCATCCTTCTCCTTCCGCTCCGTGTATCCGTTATCCCTCTCGTTTTCTTCGTCCTGCTGTCTGTGTTGTTACGGAGGTTAGCGGCGCCGGTGGCGGTAACTCTGCTTCTCCATCACCGCTGTAACATCAACGAGGAACGGATGGATTGGCTGAGGAAGAAGGACGGAGGGAGGGAGTGCAAAAGGGGGAGGGCAGAAAGTTTTCACGCGGGGCTCAAAGTTAGCAACAATTACAGTGAAAT